TGATATGGACCACATAGAAAATACCATTTCTCTGTTGCATTCATGCCTGTTTGGATGCTCACATCATTGTTCTTCAGCCGTGGCCTAGCAATGGTCGTTGTTTACAGAGCCATTACTTAGCAATGGCTGTTGAACAGCCATTGATTTCATGATCATTGCCTAGGAATGGGTCTACATGCCACGATATGTTTTAAGTTTATTATATCATTTCCATTTTGTACAGGTCAGTGGATGAAAATTCTGCAGTCTCTTCTCACAGTCTGCCCCCCTTTCGATTTCTTGCCAGTTCTTCCTCTCTTCTTGATGTCTTGCAGTACCTAGTTCAACCTTGTTGTTGGTCACCCCAGAGGTGTCTTTCCTTCTTGGTACCCTTGTTCTGTCCATTGTGTTTACATGACCAAATGCTTATAATTGTTCTTCCTCTTCCAACACTGTTAACACATTATGAACCAACGCCTTTTCTAATTCTCATGCCCGTGCTGTTTAATTTTGACAGGTACAAGTGTCTGCCCTTCAGACTACAGCTTGTCTGAGTATGAGAGACCAAGGTTCCAGAGAGACACGCGTGAACGCAGGCATTAGTGGACTTCATCACATGACATGGGATCAGCAGTGACATGTAGTCCTTAGTGCCTCATTATTAAATATCACCATTTCCATAAGCTGGAATCAGATTTTGCAAGCCTGCGGTTGTGGTATATGGGTGCTGCCAGGATTTTTTCAAGGGGTGCAGGCAGCTGAAAATTTTGTGTACATACTTACATTCATGCTGTAGGTGTTGCGGGGTCTCAAAGCAGTTGCTATGTAAAGTTGCATCTTATGGGATATAACACCATGTAATTGGTGAAAGTCAACTGACATGTTAGAGGAACATGTTTCTTGCCTGGCTTACTCTCCTACCCTGAAGAAGGAGGCAACATGTTCCTCTAAAACATCAGTTGACTTTCACCAGACTACACAGTGTTATAGTCCAGAAGATGGACCCCCATACATGTATGCCATTTAAGGCTGTCCTCACTGATGCACCCCAGCAGGGGCGGAGAGTCCATTTCTGAGGTCAGGACACCTTCCTAACCAATAGGTACCAGGAGCTGCCCCTCCATGGTTAGAGTTGACCATAGGAACACATCTCCACTTGCCATACTGAAAGGCTGTTTCCAGTTCTGGTCATGTGTGGTTCATGCATTTGATAATGACATGATCCACACAGTATTAATGTGCTTTTGCTGTATTTAAGAACATATTTGATTACTAGATGATATGTTATATATAACTGCAAACACGACAGAGTGTTGACTGGCACTCATGTTGACAGTTGTAGTTTAAGTTTCAGAGAAAAGAATTATATCTCTCTAGTTCATAATGTTTTTGACTAGAATTGGCAGCCGATTCATGCAGCAATCAAATATACTGTGGCTTGGAAAAGAGTAAAGATGGAGGAAGAAGCAAGGAAACATAGAATGTACAGTGATGTTAAATGCAGCATTGTAAATGTTCATTTTCAGTGAATGCCCGTTGTTTTGTCAAATGTATTTGCATTCAAAGGAAGAACTATTCCATACATGATAAATCCATGCTTTTCTTATCCACAAAAAGCAAGGTTACGACACTATGCAAGAAACAAGTGCAAATTTGCAGCAGTGTGTTTTCACCATTGGTGTTTGTTTCTGTCATGCAGCTTCTGAATAGACCGAGCTGCTGCTGCTTGTCAGCAGACCTCCTCCATGCTGACTGGTCATTTACGAAGACCAAAATTTGACTTAGCCACCAATTCTAGTGAAAAACACTTTGAACATAAAATTAATTCTTGTAGGATTTGAGGTTTCAAAAGACGTGAATATGAAGGGTTATATCTGAAGCGTATTCGCCATGTAGTTCTGATTTGTGCCTGCTTCATGGAGATTTCTTGTTTGACTTATACTTTTTGGCCCTGAAGATAGAGAAGACATGTTCCTCTGAAACGTCAATCGACTTTAACTGGGCTACGTGGCATCACGTCTTTGCTTGCATGTGGAGGAACTGGAGTTAATACAGTGAAACCCCCTTGGGGAACAGTGGATTTCAACACTACATTGAGGAAAATCTTAAATGAAGAAAATTCAGCTCTCAGATTATTGACTTGGGATCACTGAAATTGAATTTAAATGAGGTAAAACCTTAAATTGGATGTTAACTGGGGGTTTAAGGTTTTCATGTCAGTGAAGACTCATTTTGTGTTCTTTTGAGTTAGGACACTGTGGGGTGTGGGGGAGGCTGTGTACCAATAGAGTTTTGGAGGAATATACTGCTTCCATGTTCAGGGTTAAAATTTTCTTCATTCTTCTGTACTCCCCTCTGGCCTGTATTAGCTAGCCCACAGCACTGAGTGTTAGCGAAGGTTATTGCTTCCAATATTCATTTGAACAGAACTGTCACACAACTGCAGGAGGAAAATTAACAGTTCGAGGGGATATATTCATGAGACTTTTTCTGGGGCCTCCATGTCGCTTATTTCTTGATGATCAAGAATTGCTGATAATCAGATGTAATTCAACTCCATTTTTTTTTTCAATTAATTGATTGTACTGATTGTCAACTTTACATTCAAACCAAAGAGCATTAAATCAAATATTTCATTACCTAAAACAACATTTGAAATTTAGATGTTATTAATATTGCAGTTGGGCATCTTGCTGCATTAGTCTTCAGTGAAACTTCATGGACTGTTGGTTGGACCACCACTTAGTCAGTGCTTTCATGTAAATTCAACGTGTTCCGGCTACAAAGAGCCAGCATCAGGATTATGTCACATTTTCTGTGCGACTGTAGATGGGTATGGATTGGTGATTGGATTTATGGTCCACCTCTACACACCACTTGGAACTACAGTAATTACAGCACTATCGCTGCTCTCCACAGTTCACAAATCACTACATGCTAAGTCTTCTCCAGCCTGCAGTGTCTTCAACAGCCGTTCCCTAGCAACGGCTTCTAACTGTGGAGATTCTTCAGCTTTCTGTGCTCAGGTCCTATCTTCTCAGACTCCATTGCAGAGGTCAACTTCTGTTTGCCCCATTACATGCGTAACCGTTACCACTGGAACGTGTTTACTGAGCTGTTGTCCAGAAGCGGGTGTGAATATAACTCTCCATCTCATGATCGTTGCACACCAATGCTACAATATGATGAGTTACGTTTACAAGAAAGCTTGGACTAAGTGGCGATTTGACCAATAAACTCTCAAGCTGCATTCAAGTCTGTGTTGCATATTGTTAGTAAATTTTCATGATGTAATTTCCTGTAACATATGAACACTTGCAAAGGAGGATCAGACTTAAAGATGATAAGTTGTGTTTCCAGTGTATGCATTTTGTTCCATTATTTAGATTTATACTGTAACATATTTAATTTATAAAGTTGTATTATCTACAAAATTGTCTGTATTCAGTATGACAGGATTGAAAGGGGCAGAGGTATCCTGAGAAGCCTGGCAACAGGTAAAGGAAGTGTTGCTAAAGTAAAGAAAATCTGATGTGCTTTTTGAAGTCATGAATTGCAGACCTAATTATGGTAACAACATTTACAACTAATAGGTGATTTGTATTGTGTTTGCGGAAGCTGTATGGATCAGTAACTGGGCAAGAGTTCTGGAAAATCAGAACTAACAAACAATGGACAGACATATAAACCCCCCCCCCAGTGTAACTATGTTATAGTTGAGAAAACTTGGCCATCTGACAGCATCAGTTGGTATGTCCCACACTTGGAGAAATTTAATTCAATAAGTATACCCCACCTTTAATTGTAATCTGTATTGAGGAGATCACATCAATCAACAAATGAACAAAAACTGGCTACCTTGAGTCTGCACAATACTTCTTATAGCAATGAAAACACATTTTGTAAATTTAGTAACAAGAACATGCCCATGGCAAGCCACTCACAAACCCACTTTGCTGTGTACTTGCTACATAATTACAATGCCCTTGGGAACATGTACACAACAGTTGCAACTAACTGTATATCCAGCCACTTTCTGTGTGGGTACTACGTTTGTTGCGCCGCAGTTTCGGGACAAGTATATCTGCGCTGTCACAGCATCCGGGTCCCTGTGGGCTCATATGTGTCACTGCACTGCACTGTACAGGGGTCGGCGCCTCTATGTAGGCGCTACGTTTGTTGCACCGCAGTTTCAGCACGAGTATATCTGCGCTGTCACAGCGTCCAGGTCACTGTGCGCTCTGTGTCACTGCACTGTACAGGGGTCAGCCTCTGTATGTAGGGGCTACGTTTGTTGCACTGCAGCTTCAGCACAAGTATATCCGCACTGTGGGCGCTGTGTCACAGGGGTCGGCTTCTCTATGTAGGCGTTACGTTTGTTGCACCGCAGTTTCAGCACGAGTATATCAGCGCTATTACGGCGCCCAGGTCACTGCAATAGATTAAGTAACATTTATACAGGGTAGTATACAGAGGTTTCCTGTCAATGCAGGCTTGTGCAGCAAGGTATGTCTTGACTTATACCTATTGCGTTGGATTATGCTCCTTGCGAACGACACTAACGGCACATTGTCAGACTTTGACCCGATCACAGTAATTTCAACTTCGCGGAATATGAATTTAGAAACGGAAAACTTTCAACTTTATTTTCATCCATAACTGAAGTGAATACTATTCGACATGTCAAAAAATAACAGTGAATACATCACATGTCGAAGTCACATAAATACACGATGACCTGTCACGATAATAAAACAATAATCATGAACGGTGAGAAAGTTTACAGAGAGAGATGCCCGAGGCCTTGTTTACAGCGCTGTTAGGAGCTTTGCCTGGAGAGGCCAAGTAACACCACAAAAGGTCCAACAACCTCCATCCCCTCTATCCTCCTACCCTACCCTATAAAATGAATTCTTCAGAGGGGTGGCTTGCACAGCCCAATAAGGGAGATTTTTAAGCTATAAACCAAGTCATACAATATAAGAACGATCGCAGAAGGCTACATGGCACATGTTCTGGTGGTGCAGAGGTAAGGTACAGGCGTTGGAAACATAACGATCGTGGTTCGAAAACACGAGTATTTTTGTAATGAGATTTTTATA